CCCTCAGAATTATATAAGACTTACGCAAGGTTCACTCTAGTCTTTTTGGTTTATTACCTTCCATTTTAAGTTAGAGCTCAGTAAAACAAAGCGAGAGCACACACAGCTTAGTCTATCTTAGCTCAGGTGAGGATTTCTGGTGGTTGTTTGTTGTGTGCTTGAGGTTGCAAATCCCTGTGTTCAATACATGCTCACTTCAGAGAAAGGACTATTTTTGTTTAAGCATTTATTAATTCAATGCCACTATCTCCCCCCAGCATGGCAGGGGCTGTCCTCTCCACATCGAATGGGGAGGTAGAAGTGGGGAGAGGGCAGAAGCCTAGCAGGCACTGCTCCCCCCACGCAAACCTGGGCTGAGGTCCCGTGTGGGCCAGGGAGGGGATTTAAACCCCACCCTCCCGCATGCTAGCCTTGGGCTGGGGCCTGGCCACTAGCATTACCATATGTCTGGATTTTCCCCAGACGTGCCCTCTTTTTGAGCACTCTGATCTCTGTCCGGGTGGGGTTTGTTTTTTTTTAAATCTGAACAAATGTCCAGGATTTTGCTTTGCTCTGCTGATAGAAGGGGGAGGGCAATCAGAGGCAGCAGGAAGCAGACATCTACCTGCAACTGTGGAGGTATGTACGGAGACCCACGTGGCACTCCATGCTGCCTCTGATCGCTCTCCCCTTGCTCCCACCAGTGCAGCAAAGCAAAATCCTGGACATTTGGTCAGGGCACAGGGGGTGAAGGCTGGGGCCGTGACAAGGCAGGGGAGGCAGGGAGTTGCCTGCCCATCCAGCATGGGAAAGGGTGGGGGCTCTCTGAAGGCAATAGGGAATTCTGTGGCTGGGCCAGTGCCTGTGCTCACAGGGGCTGAGCAACCAGGAGATGATGCCTGGGGGTGGGACATGTGGCCAGGCTGCCTGGCATGGCAAGCCCAAACCGGGGGGGGGGGGGTACCAAAAGCCTCCACTCTTCTTCCCTCCAGCCTGCACTGGGGCCAGACACACTCTGCCACCACCTGCAAGAACTGGATCCACCACGCTCTGGGCTGGTCTGGACAGGGACAGCTAGGGCTGCTCTGACAGTACTGGGGTCTGTGGGTCAGGAGTGAGGGACACCAGCAGGGCTGGCAGGATGGGCTGTGGATTGGGAGTGAGGGGCACTGGCAGCACCAAGGGTCTGCAGGTCAGGAGTGAGGGGCACCATCATGGCCCAGGGTACTGAGGTTTGGGAGTGAGAGAGAACAGCAGGGCTGGGTGGGGAGGGGGCTGTGGCTTGGCAGTGAGGGGCAACAGACTGGGCAAGAGCAGGACACCAGCATGTCACTGCCCTGCCCAACACCATCATATTTCCCCCACTCCCTCCCCCACGACAGGTTTCTTCTTTTTTGGAACTGGAAATATGGTAACCCAATGCAACCCACTCGACCAGGGAGGGGGGAAAAGCCTTAGAGCTTCAATCCAATCCTTTTGGCAGTGGGAGGCGTGCTCTAGTGCCTCCAGGCTTCTGGCCTGACCCACTGCAGTTATGTGGCTGCATTTCCTGAAACAATAGTAAATGTCTGTTCACTTGCTTCTCGGTTTAATCTGCGCAGTTTAGACTAATGTGCAAAGACTGAATAGATTCAACCTCTGGTTTTTTGACCGTCTACACATAGCTTTTTAGACTACCATATGCTGCATAAAAGAGGGCTTGTTAGTGAAGCTGTACACAGATTTGTCCTGAACACCCCATCTGATACTGGCTGTTCTTGCGCTTTTTTTCAAGGCTCTCCTTTGTTGTTCACCCTGCCTCAGAAACACTACTAAACCTATTATATCTGATTTGGACCCACTTCTGCTAAACCCAGCTGGCAAACTATCCTGAATCTTAATGCTGAATTTAACAACTGAGCTTAGGACCTTTATCTTCCAGCTGTTCTAGACCCTGGCACTGCTAATAAGAAACAGTTAATGGCTGCTGTCAGATGCAGACCCTGCTCAAAACACCTGCTACATTGTTTTAGCCTGACCAGGGCTCACAGCCAAAAAAGAGAAACTGGTAAACTACACAGCCTTTAAAATTAACTTTGTAACAACTCTAAGAGGCAGCAGTCTAAAAAAGCAGGCCAAATTATGGCAACATTCCAAAATGCCAAGTAAGTGGCAAAAAAAACTCATTTCATCCATTTATGAATTCATTTTTACCAAATTAGATCTGCAAAGATCTTATGCAGTACAGTACACTTAATACTTGTTAAAAACTAAAATAGGTACAGCTCAGTTTCCACTAAGAAGTCACAGATCTCTCCAATGTTACTTGATCAGTACCTTATAAAAACAATACACTCTCCTGAACAGTAGAAAAAGGCAGAGGAGTTTAAAAAGGGTTCTCTCAAAGTCATGTCTAATTTAGGATTTTTCCACAAGTAAAGTTCCTTATTATTGCTACCACCCTAAGACCAGACACATCACCAACAACTTCCACCTCCAACATAAGCATCGCTCAATAGCACAAGTGAAAAAATGAATAGAGAAGATTTGACTATACTACTGATATCACTTGCAGTAGCTGAAACGCAAAATTTCAACACATCAAAATAATAATTCAAAGCTGAATTGAATTTCAAAATACCATAAAGATCAAGGCCATATAAACAGCAGTATCTGCATCTATCAACACATTTCTTTGAAATCTGTTCAACTGAGATTTACCCAAACTGAGTATCCGACTCCAAAATTTCAGCTACACTTTACATGCTAGTGTGCTATGTGAAGAAATCTTGCCTGGCATGTGCGCTTGAGTGGATGGCGAGGAAGGGGCTGGAGCTGTGCTGCCACAACAAAGGATCAGGCATCTTGCATCTGCTGTGCTGTCTGCCCAGAGGTGTGCTTGCACCTGCCACTGTGAATGAGCCAGGCCAGGGCTCCACAGACCTCAGTGCAGCTGCTTGCAGCCTCCCTACCACCTGTTGCAAGCAGCCTGGGCTCCATGGCAGGCAGCAGGGGCCTTCCCAGACCTCAGGCCAGCTGTGGCAGGCAGCTGGGAAACTGAAAGCCATTGCACTGAGGTCTGTGGAGCCCCAGCTCAACTCATTACTGGCAGGAGTGCATACATGCCTTGGGGAATGTTTTGCCACAACAAGGATTGGGCCCTTCGCAACTCCCCAGCCATCCACCCATGGCACACCAGCATCTTAAAAGTCAAGGCTGGAGTGTTTTTAGCACTCTACCCAAAAACATTGCTGACCCCTGACCTAGAAGATCTCAGTCTAAAACACCTGTATGTTGAATGTCTGATCCAATTCTAATATAATAGAAGCCTTAGCATGTCTGACTGTCTAACACTTCGTTTGCACTCTGATTTCCCTGCTGAGACAACCATCACAATGCTGACTGAAACGATCAGAGTGCTCTGCACAGACAGACAGAGTAGAGCGCTGCCACGATGGCAGAGACTGAGGTGCCAGAGCAGGGGGGCAAGGCCAGACAGTAGGGATGGAGAGGTAAGAGCAGGGGGAGGAGCAAGGCCAGCAGTGCTGGCCTCACTCCCTCCTCCTTGGAGGCAGCAGTGGCGCAGTGCTGGCCTCGCTGCCACACCCAAGGGGTGGACACACCCCCTCAGCAGACAGGCAGGAGCGGGGGATGTGGGGGGGAGGCGGGGGGCCCCCACTGGGAGCAGCACTGCAGATATAATTTGAAGATGCTTAAATATTCTGAAATAAAAAAAAGCTGTGGTGCAAGCAGGAGTACCCCTAACTTAGATGCACAGCAAATGTACTTGTTTCTAAAAATAAAAATGCAGAGAATGCAACTGACTTCTGGGGGACAAAAAATGAAAAAGTCACAATTTTGGTACAGTCAAACATCCCTATTCAGATTACATGAGAAAATAGGAAAAAAAAATTGATATTTAATAGGCAGGCTGTTAAATTTAAGAGGAGAGAAGAAATGAAAGGGAAGAGAGGAGGAGAGAAGGTCATGAAAAATTTTAAGTAGTGTTACACCACATTGTTCAAGTTGTAAGTTGAATCTACATAGTTGACTCTGCCATCATAAATTGACCCCACATTTTCAGGGTCACAGTTTTAGGACAAAGTATGCTTCCCCCCCCAACCAAATACAAGTCAATAAGTACAAATAAAAAGTATTTGAACTGTTACTGTTCTTGCAAAGTCCCGTGGATTTTAGGTGAAGCAAATAACCACTGTAAAGACCCAAAAGGGTTAAATCCATTAGAAATGATTACCTATTACACTTTTGGCAAATGAAGCTCTCTTCAGGGTTGCCAGACCTAAATCTCCAATTTTCACAGATCCAGTTGGTCCAGTAATAAAAATATTGTCACATTTTAAGTCTCTGTGAATGATGGGTGGAGTTCTTGTGTGCAAGAAAAGTAGACCTTTGAGAATCTGCCGGCACCAGCTACGAAGAACTTTTGGTTTCATCACTTTAAATCTCTTCAGATACCTGCAGCACAAGCACCCAAAGCAGGGAACAAAGAAAAGAAGAGCACTGGTAAAAACTATAATGTTTTCAACTGTAATCTCATTATGAGTAAGGCTCAACCTGGCTACCAGAGACAGCACCATGCAGGGGGGTAGGAAGAGACTTTGTTGAACGAGGAATTACATTTTTTGGTGGTGGGGGGATAATATGCTTTTTGGAGCAACTCCCACCATCAGTACAGAAGTTTATGAAAGTTTAACACTGAAGCAATTCAGTGTTAGTACAGAGGTCTCAGTTATGCTGTGGATGCTTTACGTATTAATACAAAATAGAAGTCTTAAATTCTGATTAAGGCTTTTCATCTCTCACCTACATTTTTGCCATTAACCTAACCCAATAATTGTTAGGGTGGATGTGGAGCTGATGTTTAGGAAAGAGCAAATGCAGTTGTAGGTTTTGAAGAGTAGCACACTGGAGATACGGAATGATCTCTATTACTCCTACTGGGGATGAAGAAGATCTGTTCCAGTATTTGTGCTAACTGTATTATATCAACCTGAACAAGAGTGTCAGCACCACAGGCTATTAATGTTTAGGAGATTACATGAAGCTGCTCTAGCTTCAAAATCTGATTTCCCAGATCTCAAAGCTAGTTCATTGCAGTTTTGCAATGAACAACAGCCCAACCAAACAACCTAGTCTAAAAAGCTTAGTTTGTCACATGCCAAAGATAAAAGGAGAACACTGATAATCGTTACATAACTGATGAGAGGAGGGAAGAGGAGTGAAGTTATGCTTTGCAATTAATGAAACACCAGGAGAGATGACAGAAGGCAGAGGAAAGTTCCATTTTATCTTGAGATGCCTTTTTCAGAGTTGGAAACTAGGATTTTTCTAAAAATTTCTGCAGCTATTCTTAGGCTTCTTATCAGAAGCTCACTACTTACGTTTTCAGTGTGCCGGAGGTCATCAATTCAGTAACCAGCACAATACATCTCTTTCCTTTTACACAGGATTCCCAGAAGTCATAAAATCTAACAATGTTTGGATGCTGAAGACCTTTCAACATTTCTGCTTCCTCTTTAAATCTCTGTCTCTCTACTTTTGTCAATTTTCTGTCCTATAATCCAAAAGAAACATGATTAGTACTGAATTAGGGAGGAAACATTATTAACAACCTATCATTCTAGTACTATGGTTTTCGGTGTTCTAGATTTTTTTTATCCTCTTGTGAAACACCCCAACTCTAATTTATGTAAGAGATGAGTAATGTAGATGAACAAAGAAACTTCATTTCTAGTTCTACTCATCATAAAATTGTTTGCCTCGGTCCCTGAACTGAGCAGAAAGACAGGGTTGATTTGCATCAAATACATGCCTATGCTATGCCATATAAGAGCCTCTAATTTCCATTTACACCTGAGGTATTACTAAAATGGTTCAGGGTAAACTGGAATATGTCTCAGTGCAATAATGAACATACAATTACTAATTCACTGGTTTGAAGACAAATCTGTTTTTGGTCACAGCCATACAGCTAACAAGAAGGACTAGATTAATAATGCAGGGCCTGCTTTTCATACATCCTTAATAGTCACCACTAATTGATTTCATTTATAGTCATGAATGCACAGCACTTCAAGAGATTAGGCCCATAATCTACATGTAACCGACTAAAGGGAAAAAGCTCCCTTAGGTAACGAGGTGGGGCTTCACAGTTTTTACCATTTCCAAAAGGTCAAACTAGACTATCCAGCTTCAAGAAAGAATACATGAACTTCTGATCATTCACAATTCTGTCTCATTTTCTAAGTTTTTTCTTAATTTTTTTACCCTGAATGGATCTAAAAATTAATCTTACCCCATGTTTCTTCCTTCTGATATATAAAAGCAGTGTAAAATATATTTCTTGCCTGCTTTTTAAATTAGAAATATTAGGATCATCATCTTTTCCCAGTTTTTCTGAAGAACCTTTGAGAATTTTTGAAGGTTTATGGACACCTTCTTAGGTGTATGAGAGTCAATGGGCTTCTGCTCTTCCCTCCAGCCAGCCATTCAACAAGAATGGCCCGCCAGGCCATTCTATCCAGCCCGTGGAAACCCTTAAAAATATTAATTTAGAAAATTAATACTGATCTGCCCCTGGCTGTCTGTCATGCAGCCCTTGAGGGCTTGCCAAACTTCAGTAAGTGGCTCTCCACCTAAAATAATTGCCCGCCCCTGGTCTAACAGGTCTTGCATACAAAACTTAAAAACTAGCAAATCACTAAAAAGCTTAGTTTAAAAAAAAAAAAAAAAAAAAGAGAGTCAGATCCATGATGCATTCATTTTTAAAACTTAGGCATTTAGCATTTCTGAGCCACCTTTGAGATAAGTGAATGCTATTCTGTGTTTAAGTGAATTAAAGTGTCATTTTGCTTCTTTTTTTCCCCCCCTTACTGAGACTCTAGATGGGTAATGCCATTGTCACTTTGGTATAGTCTAGCCTCCTCCACACTGCAAATAATTTAATATGGTAATGAGACTTTATAGGGCTGGAAACAAGTTAGCTTCATGTTGGCAGAGATATTACAAAAGGAAAATCCAAGCTGAAACCCACTACGTTTTTTGGCTGGTCTTCAAGTAAAGAAAATTATTTCTTAAATGGGGGAGGGAGGGGCCAGGAAGGCTGCATTTTGGTGGTTCCAAAAGATGTGTATATGCCCATTCCATAGCTGAGCAGTAGTTTTTAGTTTTCTGTACATTTTCTGCAGCAAGTATCAATGTTATCACTCATGCTAAGGTTGCCCAGGGCAACAGCAACACTTTTCTCTATCATAGCATCTGCTTGCCTTGTGGGGGGCAGACTCTTATTATGAGGTAAGGCTTTCAGCAACACACTCACAGCTCTTGTACTGCTGACAGGTGGACATCAACAATATTAACAACAGCCAATTATGAGGCATCACTGCGGCTGCTCCAAACTACATACTTTCATAAAAGTTAAAAAAATGCAGCTTGGGTGAGTAAGCACTGAAGAGTCTAACAACTGCTTTCAACCCCATCAGTTTGTCCCCAACTGGTGAGCTTCCTTTTAATTTAAATCCTGTAGAGCAAATCAGATGCATGCCTATTAAAGAGGAAAGAAAACAATTCCCTATGCGAGACAAAAGATCATATTGGGGGTTAGGGGAGGAGTGGAAGAGGATAACTACAATGCTTGCAATTTTACAGAATCTTCCTCCCCTGAAAAAAAAAAATTGAGGGCCCCCAGACCCAAACTTCTGCATTTCTGAGCATCGTGAGATATTACCCACCCTTAGATTCTGATTGAACATACAACAAACATATGGTCACATTCTGTGAGGCTGCAAATTGTGTGCACACAAGTAAGTTAGGGCTGAAGATTAAAATAGTTTGAGTAGGACAAGAAAATAAGTGACTTCATCTTCCTCCCCTCCAAATCTTCTCCACATTCCATGCATGCATTTTTTGCATTTATGCAGCATTGTTTTAAATGTAAACTTCCCTACTGCTAAAAGTTCAGTGCCATACTTAGGAGAGCTGGGCCCTCACCAGCACTTGGGAGGGAAGTGCATGAACAAGAAAGAATGTTCCAGTTCTGGGTAGTTACACAACACATACTTAAAAAGCTTCAAACTTGTATTGAGGTGTTTCCAATGTAAAGTCTTTATAAGAGTTTATAATCAAGCTTTTTAAATTCCATCCAGCTGAACCCGATACACAGGCTGTTGGTCAAAGCTTAAGAGGGCTTAAAAGTTAAGCTGTTTTCTACTGTGGGCAGGAAGAAAAAACAAACAAACAAAAAAACCCTCTGGCTGTGGTTTTAACTACACAACTCACTTAAAGTTTACTTGGAAAAATCTTCATTAAGGTTGTAAATTCTTATTCCCAGACTATAAAAAAAACCCATGCAAGACCAATCTTTAAACTAAAGGTACTGTTTCAAGCTTACAAAATATCATCTTAGGGCATTGGAATTTTAAAAGACAAGTCTTTATGTCAGGTGGCCAGGAAACTCTAGGCTGAAATGACACGAATTAAGACATTTGGGAGTAAGGAATTGTAGAGTTAAAAAATCGTGTAATAATATACCCGAATAGAGAGAAAACAAAGTGTTAGTGCAGAGCAAGTTGGCCAAGCCAAAATTATCCAAAGAGTCAGTGGCAGGTAATCTATTCCTCATATTTCATACTATAGAATATGCCCTCCCAGACTGTAATCTTTCTGTGAGGGGAACCCACCATCCAGCACACTCCTCAAAGCCATAGGCAGACTAAGCAGATGGGCAAGCCATGGGGTGGCTACAGAATAATTCTGCAAAGGCAACTACAGAAAACTGCTTCTTTCGGGGACTGACAGATGTACAGGCCTCCGCTTTAACTCATGGCACGTCACAAAAAGTGCCATGACTTAGAGGACCCCCCTACCTTGCAGCAGATG